GGCACTCGTATCTACCGTGGCACCGATAGAAGTGGCACTTGTTCAAAATGCCACAAGACCGAAAAATGTTATTAAAAAAAATAGTTTTGTGACAGTTTCAAATGTCACTAAACTAAGAAAATGTTATAGTGTGTTCAAATTAGTTTTTTAGATTCTAACCATTAGAAGTTTAGATGCGTAGATGTATATGGTACACAACAGGAGGGGAGAGTGCAATCTTTCCCAAATAAGCTAGTTGTTCATATTTACGGTTCATCAATCTCATTGTTTGGTTTATTATAATGAAAGTTGGAATAAATTAGTCATTTTGTCAAAATATGCATTCATATATTTGCTTCGATAAAAAATAAAGGAATTTACATTCCAAATGAAATTAGCATTCATCAATTTAGGAGAGTGGTCATTCATTTTCAAAATCATTCAAATGAATCAAATACTATCTAAAAGTGGTAAATGTGTAGAATCGCTCAAATAAACCAAACACTCCCGAAAAGTTGTAAGAGGAGGTGGAAGGGTATTAAGCATACATATCCCATGAACTCTTTAATGAAGTGATTTTTTTTATTGTGCATGTTGTATAAACAATAATCATAGCTACATTAATACATCACATTTGAGTTACCATGTACAGTATCAACATTGTACTGACTTTTGAATAAGGGTGAATTACATTAACCGTCTTTATAATTTGGGATTTGTGCTATTTTGGTTTATGACTTTTCAATTGTAATATATTTGATCTTGAATTTTGAATCTTGTTCTAAATATGGACAATTGAAAATATCATTTCTCAATTTCAAGAGCAAAATCGTTAATTTGATAAAATATAAACTAATTTGACAAAAATAGATGTCAAAAAAATATTTTTAAATTTTCAAAAATTATTTCTACCCACCAAAGATAAAATTATGTAAAATCGATAAATCTTTTGCACATTTATTTATTTATTTATTTACCAAATTAATTTTTATTATATGTTTGGATAATGATTATATAATGGGTGGTTGTTTTTATTTTCATTAAATTAGTCTATTTTTTCAAAAGTCAAATATGGCGGCAATTTTGATATCATTATTAAACCAATCCATTAAATTAAAAAATTCAAAACTAAAAACATTCAATATATTAAATATATCGATAATACATTAAAAACCCAACAATCACCCATTACATGATTATTATCCAAAAACATAATAAAAATTAATTTGGTAAAGTAAATAAATAAATATATAAAATATTTATCAATTTTATATAATTTTATCTTTGATTGGTAGAAATAATTTTGAAAAATTTAAAAATAATTTTTTGACATTTATTTTTGTCAAATTAATTTATATTTATCAAATTGACACTACAACATTTTCTTAGTTTAGTGACATTTTAAAGTGCCACAAAACTATTCTTCTAATGACATTTTTTGGTCTTGTGGCATTTTGAATAAGTGCCACTTCTATCGGTGCCACGGTAGATACTTGCAAGTGCCATTACACCATCATGGCTGAAAACTTTCAATGACATTTTAATGTCATGGTAGATATTATTTGTGGCACTATCAAGCGCCATTAAAAAAAGAGTTAGCGACACTTGTAAGTGTCATTACACCATCAAGACTAAAACCTTTCAGTGACACTTTAATGTCATGGTAGGCACTATTCGTGACGCTATCAAGTGCCATTCATGACGATAATTCAATGTAGAACAATTTGATTCGCTCTTGCGGAGACTCGAACCGCTAACCTTCCGCACCATAAACCTTATACACCACACTCTTCCCACTACACCTCTATAGCACCACATGATTATATATGCAACATATATTATTTATATAGTACATACATCCATATTAATATAAAAGTATATGTATAAATATAATTATTTTATTGAACATAATTTATGTAAAATAAACTATTTACTACCAAAATAAAAAAAGACCACTGTTGGCGACAAAAAATATTTTTTAGTCGCCAATTCTATCCTTTTGGCTACTAATTATTTTTTAGTTGCTAAAAAACTTAACTTTTGTCGACCAAAATCGGATTTGGTCGCCGAAGATGCACTTTCAGCTACCAAAATTTTGGTCACCAAAAAATTTTATTCCCGCCTTAGGATTTTAGTTCTCCCGCGCTAAAAATGACCACTTTTAGCGACTAAACTTATTTTTTAGTCGCCAATTGTAGACTTTTGGATACTAAAATTTTTTTAGTCGGTAAAACGCATATAATCAGCGACCAAACTTATTTTTAGTCGCCAATTGTAGACTTTTGGCTACTAAATTTTTTTAGTCGCCAAAAAGCTTTACTTTGGGCTACTAAAAATTTTTTAGTCACTAAAACCTATATAATCAGCGACCAAACTTAGTTTTAGACGCCAATTGTAGACTTTTGGCTACTAAAATTGTTTAGTTGCCAAAAAGCTTTACTTTTGGCAACTAATGCTGTTTTGGTCGCTGAAGCTATACTTTCAGAGACCAAATTTTTTTGGTCAGGAAATTTAGTCACCGAATATGCTTTTTCCTGTACTGTATATTGAGTTTAATTCATTTATTTTTAATCATTTACTGTATTTTAAAAATTTAGAAAATATATTGGCATTTTTTGTTTTTTCAAAAATGTCATTATAAGCTTGGAAAGTTTTTGGCTTAGTGGCATTTCTCAAAATGCTATAAAATATTTGTTTATGACACTTTTCACCTAAGTGCCATAAAAAACAATTTGCACCTACTTAGTGTCCCGACATTTTTTAAAAAATGCCATTGCAACTAAAGTTTAGTGGCATCTGTTGGTAAATGTCACAAATATAATTTTTTGTGTCATTATTTTATAAAATGTCATAAAATTGATGTGACATTTCTTTATTGAAATGCCACTAGAGCCTTATATGTTTTGTGGTTCTGTGGCATTTTTCTAAAACATTTAATGCCAATTTTTATTTTTGTGTCATTTTCTAAAAACATGCTACTAGTGTAGTGTCACTAAAGTGTAAATTTGTTGTAGTGACATTTTTGTTGTAGTGAAGTGACACTTTTTTTTAATTGAAATGCCACTAGAGCGTTGTATGTTTGTGGCTCTATGACATTTTTTTAAAAAATGCCACCAAATATTCTTTTTGTGACATTTTTTAAGAACATGCCACTAGTATGGTGTCACTAAAATATGTTTTTGTTGTAGTGTGACGACTTTGTCCTTGAAATTGAGTAATGGTATCTTCAATTATCCTTATTTGGAACAAGATTAAAAATTCAGGGTCAAATGTGTTCCAACTAAAAAATCAAGAACTAAAGTGACACGAGTCCCAAACTATAGGGACTGTTAGTGTAATTTGGCCTTTGAATAATATATATATATATATATATATATGAGTTGATTAAAAGAATACAAATATAATATATGAGATAGCAAAATAAGTATATATATTTATAAATGTCATCATTATTTTAGCATTGCTCATAATATTAAGCTTTTCCATTGCCATATGCCAATGTTTAAAAGAATATAATTGGAGCCAAGTATTTCAACATGGTAAGTGAAATGGACCAAACAAAACTACCATTATCCATGACTACTATTATATTGGGTTCTTTGTCTTCCAACATTTTCAATTGATAAAAATTTTAATACATCCTCATTCAATTTGTTTTTGTTTTAATTTATATATTCAATTGCATAATTTTTTTTTTTTTGAATTTGATATGATATATATATACATTCTCATATATTTCTGCATTATCTCAAATAAAATAAAAATATACTCACCAAGATAATATATATAAAAAATCTATACAATTCTTTTTATTTTTTTATTTTATTTTTGCAATGAACGTAATAAAGAAATAAAAACTATTAAAGAATTAATTTATACAAAACCCAATCAAACAACCCTCGAGAAGTCAATATCACCAATGCCATGACCTACTCTTGGGTCCTACTCTTGGTCTGCAAGTGTTAGCATTTTCAATAAGCTTTCCCAATATCATTACCTGACAAAGTTCTAAGAGACTTGTCGATGATGGTGGGTTTTTGTAGAAGTGAAGACAACGATACCTATCCGGAAGCACTCAATAAACCAATGATCTCTCTCTCTCTCTCTCTCTCTCTCTCTCTCTCTCTACATATACATAAATACAAATATATATATATATATATATGCATATCGTATGTAAGTATTTTCTCTCTCTAGATTCTCACTTCTCTGTGTGTCGTCGTCCCCTCAGAGGAGTCTCGTTGTTGTGCTCTAGCTGGCTAGAAGAAGAGATCGAGAAAAAGTTATTTCTAATAATGCTTTTGTCCCCCTATGGTTTTAATCATTCAAAACAAAATTCGAAGATGTTAAAACTAATTTAGAACTGTTATGCAATTCGGAAACGTGGGGTAGTGGAATTGATTGGTTTGAATTTATCATGTTACCCTTAACTACAAACTAATATTAGTGTAAAAATAATATAATTATTTAAGAAGTTATGGTCATTTTAGGATAAATAGAAAAAAAATTCTAAGCCAGGCTTCAGGACACCAAAATTCCTGTTGGCTTTTAATAATAGTATAGATATATATGAGTGGTGAGATCCATTCAAAGAATGCAAATATGATATATGAGATAGCAAAATAAGTATATATATTTATAAATGTCATCATTATTTTAGCATTGCTCATAATATTAAGCTTTTCCATTGCCATATGCCAATGTTTAAAAGAATATAATTGGAGCCAAGTATTTCAACATGGTAAGTGAAATGGACCAAACAAAACTACCATTATCCATGACTACTATTATATTGGGTTCTTTGTCTTCCAACATTTGGATCTTTAACAAAATTAATTACAGTCCTCGCATGTATATAAGACTTTCCCAAAATAGATAAAATTCCAAAGGTTGTTATACTTATTGACCTCAAAAACACAAACCATACAAGTGGTGTTCCATTCTTCCCGCCTCCTGTTTCTTCAGGTGCCCTCCTCACCTACGGTATATAAGTCTTTGATCCATTTTTTTTTCTTGTGTTGGTGTGCTTTGAGCCTCCTACTCGGCTCTTGTATATATATACAAACCAATCCTCTCTTTTTGTCTTCCCCAGTAAGCCAAGCGAATCACTGTTCTCCAGTGATTCGCTTGTAATATCACGGAAGAGAGATTAAAAAAAAAAGAAAAAGAGAAAAAAGAAAGAAAGAAAGAAAAACAGAGAAATGGCAATAATGAATGGTAATTTAGGTCTTTTTTTCTTCTTATCCTTCGCTGCAATGATCCCGGCTTTGCATGCCAACATTGGAGAATTCGATGAATATTGGAAGGAGAAGGAAACAGAAGCAAGAAAAGTTGCCTTCGACTCATTTGATCCTCACCCCGAGAAAGTCACTGAGACTATCAACGAGGAAGTCGGCGAGTGAGTGATAATATTGATTTCCACGTCAAATCTTTGTTTTTCTTCTTCTTTCTTTCTTGGGCAAATTATATCGGTGGTTCTTATATTTTAGTTCTTGTGTTATCTTAGCCTCTACAGTTTCAATTAGCTCAAATTTGATCCTTAATTTTAGATTTTGTATCAATTTAGTGCAATTGATAATATCTTTAGTATTTTTTAAAGAAAATTATCACTAAATTAGTTAAGATTAATCCACTAATATCAATAAGTTTATAATTTTACTTTTAAAACATGATACACGGTGCGTATTTTCCATAAAGAAATATTAAGAATTATAATCAATGAGAACAAATTGAGATAAAATAATAAATTTATGGTCAAAATCAAGCCAAATGAAATTCCATGAACTAAAATAACATAATGATCAAAGTATAAGACTGTAATTTGCCTCTCTTTCTTTTTGCATAAAGGGTGGTTTGCCTGCCCCATCGGTAAAGGCTTGCTATTAGGACTCTGGTGAAGCAAATTCGAATAATAGAAATAATTTTTTTTTTTTTTAAAATGGGAGTAAGGTTGCAATATTGTATGCCGCATATGTCTTGTTGTTTTAGATGCTGCTTTAACGAGAGCTTTGTGAACTGGGTCTCCCTTTAATTTCTCTATCTCCTTCGTCTTTTTCTTCTTCTTCTTCTTCTTCTTCTTCCTTATACGGATTGTTTTCTTTCATATAGGATTCTGACGGGTACCAATGGCACAAGGAGGAACTTGCGAAAATATAAAGGCCCATGTTTGGCAACAAACCCCATAGACCGATGTTGGAGGTGTCGTCCTGATTGGGAGCAAAACAGAAAGAAACTAGCAGACTGTGTTCTTGGCTTTGGCCATAAGACCAGCGGTGGTAAGAAGGGGAAAATCTATGTTGTAACTGATCCTTCAGACAGTGATTTGGTGAATCCCAAGCCCGGAACTCTTCGCCATGCCGTGATCCAAGAGGAGCCATTGTGGATCATCTTTGCACGACCTATGATAATTAGGCTCAGTCAGGAGCTCATGATGAGTAGTCACAAGACCATTGATTGTAGAGGAGCTAATGTCCATATTGCCTATGGTGCTGGCATAACTATGCAATTCGTCAAGAATATCATCATCCATGGCCTCCACATTCATGACATTGTTTCAGGCAATGGTGGCATGATTAGAGATTCGGTCAATCACTATGGTTTTAGAACAAGAAGTGATGGAGATGGGATTTCCATATTTGGATCATCTAACATTTGGATCGACCATGTTTCAATGTCCAAATGCACAGATGGGATCATTGATATTATCATGGGATCAACTGGCATCACTATCTCCAACGGCCATTTCACTAACCATAATGAGGTAGCATAACCCGACATGTAAATCAAAACTTATAGCTAAAGAAAGGTGACACTAAAATAAAATTGAAATTTGGATTTGGATTTGAATTAGGCTGGACTAACAAGGTAGCTAGGTGATAAGATTTAAGTTTGTATTAGTAAGTTCATTTAGTTACTTGGAAGGACAACTTGGGTTTAGAAATTAAATGTATGAAGAAAAAGAAATATCAAAACTAAATATAAAATGCACGCAATTATTAGTACAATATTTCATTTTGAAGACCGATTTTATTTAAAAAATAGTGGGTGTTTTCATATATAAGTTGAGATAATATTTTGGAATTAATGATGCAGGTGATGTTGTTTGGCGCAAATGATGCCCACACTATTGATGAGATAATGCAAGTTACTGTTGCATTTAACCACTTTGGGCAAGGGTTGGTCCAGAGGATGCCAAGGGCCCGATATGGCTTCATCCATGTCATTAATAATGACTACACTCATTGGCTTATGTATGCCATTGGTGGCAGCAGTCATCCCACTATCATCAGTCAGGGTAACCGATTCATCGCTCCTCCTAACCCAAATGCCAAGCAGGTAATTAAGCACATAGACATACACGCCAATTACGTGCACTGGTAGTAAGTATACGAATACATAAAGATTTTTTAGAATATGTCACAGAATGCAGTGCTAGTTGCCGCCCTATCCACTTTTGTGACATTTTATGTGAACAATTTCTGCGTGTTGGATTTTCTGTCAAATTTATTATTATTTTTTTTAATAATTACAAACTGGTCATCATTGTTGTTGGTGTAGGTGACGAAGAGGGAAACGACTCAAGATGTGTGGAGTAAATGGCAATGGAGGTCCGAGGGAGATCTGATGATGAACGGAGCGTTCTTTCTTGAATCAGGGAAACCATTGGATGAAAAGCCATTCACAAGGCAACAAATGATCAAAGCAAAGCCAGGGAGTTATGTGACTAGACTCACCCGATTCGCTGGTCCACTTGGCTGCAAGCCAAACAAACCATGTTAATGAATTTTCCCATCTTTACTTTGTTTCATTTTCTTTTCCTTTGTCTTATAGTCATGAAAGCCAAACAATGTCATCACAGCTGTGAATAGATGGCAGAAGGAAAGAATAGTGGGTGAAACAAATTGCCATTCTGTTGTTTTTCTTTCTTTTTTTTTACAATCTTGTGGTTGGCCTGTGAGGGAAGAGCTAGAGATTGAATGAGAAATATTGATGGAAGGGACATAGAACCAAAGGGGGGAAAAAAAAAATCATTTTTTCCGTGAGTTAAGTTCCTATTTCATCAAGCTATTTAGGTCTTGTTTGGTGATCATCTTTCGTTTGAATTGCAGGCTGAAAATTTCTACTGCATTTCAACAGAAAATTCATCACCTTAATCAGAGCCACTACAATAAAATATATGACATTTCAACATATCTCATGACCTTCAATAATATTTAATTTCTTTGTTGTTTGTTCTTCTCTTCTTTTTTTTGTGGGGTGGAGACTTCCGTATTTTATGTTTTTTGAATGACGGAGCATATAAAAATTGCGCATATTAGTCTCCATTAATTTGGCTATATAGTTGATGTACTGTGCTTGTTTAATTTTGTATCTAAACAATTACTTATGCTTATTTAATTCTAGTTATGTTTTGCGTTGTGTTTTGTTAATTAGAGTTAATGTATGTGGAGGAAATTTGTCCAGATGTTTTATTGGTACTTGTGTTGATATAATTTCATATAAAAAGCTTGTAAGGGAAGCTAAAAAGGCAATAGAAAAATCTACAAAAGGGGCTGTTAACAGTGATGTCACGACCCAATCTCGGCAAGACAAACCCCCACTTCAAACGCTATAACATCTGTATACAATAATCACCTGTATAATTCTTATATCACATCACCAATAGTGCATAAGACCCTTCGATTGGCTAACATATATGAGATGATCCATTCAAAGACAAAAATATCATCATGCTAGTAAGATAGTTCCCATGCACCACTACCCCAAAAATAAAACATAATATTCATGAATCCATCAATACATACAATTTCACAAAGCAAATATTTACAATCAACCTCCTTCATAAAACAAAGGATAAAACTACATCCTAGAGTGACCCTAAGAAAAACCTGAACTACCTGATGCTCACATTTGATCCTCCAGAAACTCTAATCTTTCAAGTTGAGGCGAGCCCCACAAAAGTCTTGGAATCTGGAAAAAAAAAATTAATTAAAAAAGAATGAGGTAGAGCTCAATGAGTATACCAATCCCATGGAGTTATAAATCTTGCTCCTTCCAATGGGGTTCAAAATAAAGATAATAAATACAAGAGCTTAATTGAACTGAAATTTATACAAATTGAATTTTTTTTTGCATAAACCGTTATCAAGATTTTTCCAAAGAATCTCATAATGTAGGAAAATACATTTGAATAAGGAAAGTAAACAAAAATATGACTTTTCAATACATTAAGATTTCATGTCCATCATACGAACCACTACATAGCCGTAGGGTCGCGTTATCTTGCGACTTAGGTGGTGACAGTACCGTTATCCAAAACATAACCATAAGAACATAACTCATGTCATCATAGCACTTCAATTCTCATTTCAATGCTTCGGTCCCCAAGACCTCTTATGTACAATGACCCTTATGGTTCTTAAAACATTTCGATCTCCAGGACCCCAAAGCATTTTGGCCCTTGTGGCCCCAAAGGCTATATTCGGTTATATGATTAATAAAATAAATAGTCTCGCATAGCGTTTCATTGTCATTTAATCATCATCATCATAAAATTTGAAGGACTCAACTTAAATAAGTTCTCATAAAAATTAATGCTTCATTATAGAAATGAAATCATATATTTATTTAAAACTTAACCTTTGACCTCAATAAATTTATAGATTTTCTTTTCATACATATATCATGATGAAATGTGTTACTTCCTTTAATTCAAAAATATTTCAAACTTTGTATTAAAGATAAAGATAAGGTAAATTTTCATGGTAAATATACTCACTTCCAAAATAGCAATAGTGTAGATTTGAAACCCTACGAGTTAATTCCCAATAGGTGTAGAGACGCCTTCTTCCAATCCTAACAATTAGTAAATAAGATCTAAAATTAGGGGAAAACTTCCAATGAAAATTACAATATCTTTAAAATTGATCCTAAATAAAACATGCTATGGAATGAGAGTTAAAACCAAGTTAAAGAACTCCTCCAATTTCAAATCATCCTAACAAACAACTTATACAGCACCCAAACTTTGTACATTTTTGAGCTATTAGCTTTTTAAAATATCCAACCAATTTATATGCACAACACCACCATCAATTAAACCACAAAAGTAAAAAATCAACATTTTCATAAACTCAACAACTTAGGTAAAACCACTTCAATCATTAATAAAATTCCTCCAAAATCGTTTATAGAACATAGAGATACCCAGTCTACCATTTATCAAATCAATTTCAATATATAAATTTCCTAACACCAAAATCTCCAATTTTTACATCACATTCAAACCTAGATTAACCCAAATCTCAATCTCCAAAACAACCACCAAATTGATCATTTTTCTACATGTAAAACATTCATAGACACTAATTGAGAGTATAAAACTCAACAATCAAACCCCAAATCATAATAGATCTAAAATAGAAAAAAAATTCATCATCTCTAACTCAAAATATATAAAACCTTAAACTAAACTTTTTAGGGAAAGATTCTTACCAATTAAAAGCCTCCAATCCATCAAGAAAATAAACCTCAAGCTTTGATTCTTCAAAAGATTAAGAAAAAACTAGAGTTGGTACTTCTATTGTGCTATTTTCGGATAGAGTGATGGAGTGGCCGACCGGACCCTTTTTTCGGCAAGATAAGATGGCCGACAGTGGTGGAGATGGTGGGTTAAGGTGGTGGTGTAAGGGTGGAGCAAAGGTAGGGTGTTTGGCCACCAAGAAAGTAAAAGAAAATGAGAGAAAATGTAGAGAGAAGTTAGAGAGAGAAGAATGAAAGCAATGAAGTAAAAAAAAATCTGCATTTTTTTTTTTATAGTTGAAATGGGGTGTTTGGTCACACCTACTATCAAGTTTGGAGTTGGGTTTTGATATCCTAAATGGAGTTTAACTTAGGAGTGTGTTTGGCTCTAGATGAATGTTAGGAATATTATAATTCTACCCCCTAAAGGAAATTTCGTCCATGAAATTTATTTATTCATTTAGCCTAGTTCATATTGAATTTTCATATCATCCTCCCGCTCCCAAGTAGCTTCCTTCAAAGCATGATTTTTCCACAATACCTTTACTAGCGGTATAGTCTTAGAACTTGATCCTTCCTGTCCACAATCTCTATGGCTTCCTCTTCATAAGACAAATTATCCTTGAGTTGGATTGGTTGGAAATCTAGCACATGTAATGGGTCAGGCATGTACTTCTTCAGCGTGGATACATGAAACACATTGTGAATGCGAGATAGACCAGGTGGTAAGGCCAAACGATAAGCAGTCTTGCCAATGCGCTCTAGTATCTCAAATGGCCCAATATACCTTGGACTTAGTTTGCCTTTCTTACCAAATCGCATCACTCCCTTCCATGGCGAGATTCGTAAAAATACATGATCTCCAACTTGAAATTCCAAATCCCTCCTCCGATTATATGCATAGCTCTTTTGTCTACTTTGAGCCGCCTTCAACCTTTCTCAAATGATATGCTCTTTATCGGTAGTAATTTGAACAATCTCTGGCCCTAACAATTTTCTCTCTCCAATCTCTTCCTAACACATTGGGCCAATGCGCTCTAATATCTCAAATGGCCCAATATACCTTGGACTTAGTTTGCCTTTCTTACCAAATCGCATCACTCCCTTCCATGGCGAGATTCGTAAAAATACATGATCTCCAACTTGAAATTCCAAATCCCTCCTCCGATTATCTGCATAGCTCTTTTGTCTACTTTGAGCCGCCTTCAACCTTTCTCAAATGATATGCTCTTTATCGGTAGTAATTTGAACAATCTCTGGCCTTAACAATTTTCTCTCTCCAATCTCATCCTAACACATTGGAGTTCCATATCTTTGCCCATACAAAGCTTCATAGGGAACCATTCCAATACTTGATTGATAACTATTATTATATGCAAATTCTATTAAGGTCAAGTGTTCATCCCAACCACCTCGAAAATTTGGGACACAAGCTCTCAACATGTCTTTTAAAGTTTGAATTGTCCTCTTGGATTGCCCGTCGGTTTGGGGTTGAAAAGCTATACTGAATCTCAATTTAGTACCTAAGGCATTTTGAAGACTAGGCCAAAAGTGGGATGTGAAGCGTGAGTCTCTGTCTGAAACAATAGTTACCGGCATACCATGCAATCTCACAATTTTATCCACATAAATTTTTGCTAATCGATCTAGTGAAAAGTTTTTCTTAGTAGCCAAAAAATGTGCAGATTTGGTCAACCTATTTATAACAACCCAAATAGAGTCATGCCCCTTTTGTGCCCGAAACAAAATCCATGGTGATATGCTCTCATTTCCATTTGAGTATAGGAAGAGGTTGAAGTAAACCGGTTGGGCGTTGATAATTTGTTTTAATCTGCTAACATACCAAACACATTGACACAAATTCTGCTATCTCTCTCTTCATATTTGACCACCAATAACTTTCTCTTAAATTTTGATACATCTCTGTACTCCCTGGATGCATTACATAAGGTGAATTATGGGCCTCATCTAATATCTCCCTTTTTGTATCAGGTTCATTTGGAACACATAACCGATTTTTAAACATCAACACACTATCTTCTTTAATAATAAAGTTTGACAAAGTACCATCTTTCACTCGAGCTTAGGTCTTCTCCAAAACTAAGTCTTTCCCTTGGGCTTCTCGAATGTGGTCCACCAACAAAGGTCTCACTTTAATTGTAGCTAACAAGGATCCTGACTTCCCAACTGCTAGATCAACTCCAATAGATTTTATTTCATGTAAGAGACCAAATTGAATGCCTTGAATGTGAGTTAATCTCCCTGTAGATTTCCAACTAAGAGCATCAGCCACCAAATTAGCTTTTCTTGGATGATAATTAATGGTGTAGTCATAATCCTTAATCAGTTCAATCCATCTCATTTGCCTCAAATTTAAATCCCTTTGGGTGAATGTAATCACCCCATTTTTTACGGTCCTTACGACTTGGACATCTTCGCATGCACACCCGATGATGAATGTATTTGCTCGCCAAGTGCTCGAAGTTCTCAGTAGAATGCCACAACTTTGAGCCTTTCAAACCCTGTACCTTTGTTGTCCCAGTTTTGGACCAAGCCTAGCTTTTCCAGTCTGCAACCTCTAGTGGCCTGCCGGCCACCCCTTTTGGGCTGTCGGCCATTACTTTTTAGTTGCCAGCCACTGATGTGGCTTGCCGGCCACCAGTGATGGCCGGTCGACCACCAGTATATTTTGCAAATATTTTATGCCAACTATGCCAG